TATGGATAAAACAGATAACAGAGATTTACATTCTGGCCTCCATGGATGAATGTAGAGGGCACGTAATCTCTGCAGAATGAAACTATAAAACACCATTGGAGCTACTGTACTCCTCTGCCTGTTTATGCATAGTATTAACTTTACAATCTTAAATCCAAGTGGGAATCTCTACCCTTTAAACATCTGTTAGGCACAATAATACTGAACTAACTATTAGCACGTCACATTGTATCTTACCTTTTAGCATTATAGTGTCCACAGCCAAGGTGATCACAAGTCCTTAATTTATTTTTGGGGTTGCCATTGCATATTTGTCCCCAGGGTCCCGCCGCAACTGTAGGAAAAAATAAAACATACACAGCTGAAGGGACTTATCTAGTCTTGTACAAGAGAGTAGTTAGCAAGTGTAAACTCAAGCCTTGTTTCCATACAGTTGCTTTCACTCATGTTAATGCAGAGTTAACTTAATATATATAATGACACAAGTTATATCTAATCATATATGCCCAGTTTAAGCATCGTGTCATCTGACGATGCAATTAGATGATCTCATTTAGATTAGCTAACGATGTTCTAAATTAGCACGGTTAAATGGATGGCAGCCTTGTCATCTTGTTTGATTTGAATACAACTCAATTATTAGTACAATGGAATTAATACAAAAAGATATTCAGCAAAAAAACCTTAATGTGAACGAGGCCACAGACTACGGGTCTGACTTTTAGCTCAAGGATTAAACTCAATGACGCTGTGTTGATGATGAGGACAGAAGTGGGTCATTTCTGCCAGTCTAGAAGGTTATAGCTTGGTTGTAGCTTCTTTGTGTGACTTTGTCTAATAGAGTCATTTGTTTTAAGACTCTGGTTCTGCTCGCTAAGAAATAGAGCCATGCCAGCAACCGGAGTGCAGGTATTTATCTCATGTCTTAATCTGGAATTAGTCTAAAACCATGTCAGTTTTACAGCTATCCTGGCCTAGAGCCAGTCAGCTTCAGTTTGTATAGGGACGCGCAAGGAAAGTAAAGGAAATCAAATAAAGGGATGAGGACTATGTGCATAAACAAAAGCATTGTAAATCCCCTCATAAGGACTTTTCTTCAGGTATAAAGTGGCCCGAGTTCCCTTTAGCAAGGGACCTTTACCTGATTTAGCTTAATATTCTTAAAGGGCTGTGCAGAGACAAGCCTTTAATGTGTTCTAGCATGCACTCCAAATTGCTAATAAAATACTTTGTACAGGAAGGTTTTTATATTTCCTTAGAGAAAAATGTTAATAAAATATTGCATTTTGCCTTAAGCCTTCACAAGACAAAAGCCCATGTGGAAGGATTGTTCCCTGCAAGACTATTTACTTCATAGCAAAGCTAAGGAACCTCTCCTAGGAAGCTTGAGAAAGAGATGAGCAAAACGTAGCAAATATCCGTATTAACTTACCAATGGACAGTAAGCCAGCAAGAACGATCACCTTCATTGTCAACATTTTTGCAGGTCTCTCACTGGTGTCTTCTTGATCAAGTCAAGGATGCAATGTGGTGCATCTAGCTTCATTTATATATTCTCCTTACCCAGTCAGACTTCCATCTTCAGTTTCATTTCCCGGATTGCAATAGGAAAATAAACCAGTAATGCTGCTGATAAGTCTGGTTGTGAAAGACAAATACAATTGGCCACTTAGGCCATTCATTTCTACTGGTAGACATTAATGGAAAATTTCCACCCCTGGAAACGTTTCTAGGAGAGGGAGTGTACAATGCATTCAGCCTGCACCCACTCCCTCTCCTCCTAGCTTTGTGTTTTGTGAAGGTGAGTGCAGGATGCGGGTATGATGCGTCTGTCCTCAGTAACCAGCGTTACAGCTAAGAGAGAAGTGGAGAAGACTGATTATGGCACAATCAGGAAGACCTTGAAAAGGTAGCACCACTGGGGTTTTTTGGGGTTTTGGATTTGGTTCCTCCAGAAGACACACCCATGACACACACATCTGTCACACACAAGGCGTGGTTCCTCTAGAAGACACACCCATGACACACACAACTGTCACACGCAAGGCGTGGTTCCTCTAGAAGACACACCCATGACACACACAACTGTCACACGCAAGGCGTGGTTCCTCTAGAAGACACACCCATGACACACACAACTGTCACACGCAAGGCGTGGTTCCTCTAGAAGACACACCCATGACACACACAACTGTCACACGCAAGGCGTGGTTCCTCTAGAAGACACACCCATGACACACACAACTGTCAGCCTTGTTTCCTAGAATCCTGTACTTCCGAAACAGGTTACCCGTGGGCACGCCTCATGCCACAATAGGCATTTAGAGCAGAGCTTGTAATTGGATGTTTTTGATAGCCAGCAAGTTCTCTTGCTCTTACTGATTTCCATGCAGAAGGTTAAGTTTTGGAAACTGGATTAGAAAAAAAAAAGGTGGAAAATAGGGTATCTGACTAAATTAAATTTTCCACAGAAGTGGAAACACCAGCTGTGGGCTTTTTGTTTTTTGTTTGGGTTTTTTTTGGGGGTGGGGGTCAAAAATGAAACCCCTTTGGTCAGTAACAAATCCGAGCACCTTTACCTTGGCTTAGTTCCCAAAGTTTCCGGTAAGACACTGGAAATGTTCCCCTGACATGCCCCATCCTATCAGTAAGTGTTTATCCTACTGGGAGAGGATCAAGGACTTTGTTGGGGGACGGAGGAACTCCAAGTGGAGCATGCCAGGGGACTGGCACACAGGAAAGCTGCCTTGTGGAGGACACAAGCACAACTGGTTTTGAAAATGTGAACCAAACAGTTCTCCGGCAGCATCTCAGGAAATCCAGGGTGTGAGTTGTGGGCCTCAGCTGCCTGTACACTAATGCCAGGAGCATGGGGAACAAGTAGGAGGGGCTAGCCCTCCTGCTCTCTAGTGGGCAATATGACCTGGTAGGGATCACGGAGATCTGGTGGGACCCCTCGCATGATTGAAGCGTAGCCGTAGAGGAGATAGGTTGCAGACACAGGTGGACCTGGACAGGCTCAAGGGTTGGGCAAACCAGAATCAGGTGAAGTTGAACACGACCAAGTGTAATGTGCTGCATCTGGGGACAAACAACCCTCAACATACATACAGGCGCAGTGGTGACAGCTTGACTTGCACCACGGCTGAAAGAGACCTAGGGGTAATGATTGACCATCGCATGAACATGAGCCGTCGGTGCGAGGCGGTGTCCAGCACGGCAAATAACACACTGGCATGCATCAACCGATGCATCTCATGTAAAACTAGGGTAGTGATGCTCCCACTGTAGTCAGCACTGGTGAGACCGCCGGTGGAGTGCTGCGTCCAGTTCTGGGCGCCGCCCTTCAACAAGGACATGGAAACCCTGGAGAGGGTCCAGAGTGTGGCAGAAAGCCACCTTTGTTTCTCCCCCAAAAACTCTGCTCCGTGAAAATGTGGTTAAGATGGGCCCAGCAGAGGACACACACCTTTACCCTCTCTCTTTAGGTAACCTGAGCTGGATACATTCCTGAGGGAGGGGGAAACCTGCTCCCTCTGCCTACGTGACTAGTGTCACATACCTGGGTGAGGGGATTCCTCCCTGATGGGCTAGAGTCTGCCCGCCAACTAGTGATGTATTTCAAATTGGTTGGCTGACTGCCAACAGGTGCTGGACTCCATTGGACCAGGTAAATGAGGTCACAAGGGCTATATAAGTTAAGGACTGCCCAGGAGGAGGGGGCAGCAGCCATGAGGGTGACTCAGAGACAGAGAAGAGCTGCACCATCTGAAACTTGCTCTCTCTCAAAACTCATGATCAAGGAACTGCCTGCCTCCAGAGGGAATCTCCACCTGCCTCTGGATGATACTTGTGAGTAAGCTACCTGAGATCGAACTGGATATCTAGCTTGCAGGAACTCAGATGCACGATCAAAAGGCTAGCCAGCCAGGGGACTTTGCTGTATGGGATTTCTCTGATATTGCTCTACCCTGTACCCTATTCTAACCCTCCCCTTGTAAGCAATAAAGTTCTCCTTGGTATCTAGTGTGGGAGGCTTATTGGGAGTGGGTCTAGATTATGCCTTGGGGTCCCCTTGGTTCAGCTGACTAAGGGAGACCACTACTTGTGCTTCCGACTGAGGGAAGCATCCCAACTTCCTGAACTGAACCAAGTACCCTTGGGGGCTGCTAGACTTGTGTTTCCCAGGATGCACAGAGCCAGAATTAAGTCCAGAGCCCCGGGTGGTGGCAGCGGGAACCCCAGGCTAGCGGGTGTGCTCCAGGAAGGGGGTCGGCCGGACGTGAGGCACCCCAGGGAGGCACTCGGAGCCTGGAAGGTGGTCGGGCTCAGTGAGGTGGTCGGCTCAACGCAGGAGCACCCCCTGCTGGCTCGCCACACAGAGAAGAGCCACCCGTGTGCTTAGGGACTTCCAAGGCGAGCCATACGAGGAAAGGCTGAGGGACCTGGGTCGCCTTAGCCTAGAGAAGAGAAGGTTGAGAGGGGACTTGGTAGCGGCTTACCGCTGTATCAGAGGAGTACATCAGGAGCTTGGTGAAGAACTGTTCTCTAGGGCTCCCCCACGGAAGACCAGGACCAATGGATACAAACTCCTGGAAGGCCGCTTCAGGCTTAATAGCAGGAAAAACTCCTTCACAGTTGGAGTGTGCAGGCTGTGAAACAAACTCCACCCAGAGGTAGTGCAGTCACCTACCCTGGAGGTTTTCAAGAAGAGACCTGACAGTCACTTTGCTGGGGTCACCTAACCCCAGCTGTCTTCCTGCCTAGTGTGGGGGGTTGGACCCAATGATCTGTGAGGTCCCTTCCGGTCCCTAACATCTATGAATCTATGAATAAGTAGCTTTGGCACCTCACTCCTCCAAGCCCCAACAAAAGGACCACAGTTCCTTATAAAAGGGCTTCCATTTTATTGGCTCCATTTTTTAGAGAGAAACAGTTTTAACTACACAGACAATAGCTCAAATGTTTTGGTTCATGTTTGTGCATGAATTTACACACATTTACAAGTAGTGAGTTGGATCGGTCAAGTCACAATTCTGGATGTGAACATGAGATGTAATTCCAGGGTACACTTTTTGCATTGGGAGCATTACACCAAGTCTCTGGCCTTTCTTGATGGGTCCTCTGCTCTTGAATGGTTTGATATGAAACATCTTAATGCAATGTCCTTTTCAAAGGAAAAGAGAGGGAGAGAGAAAGAAGAAAATGATTAGTTGTATGAAAATGACTTAGCAGCTGTCATAGTAATTCAATTAGAAGGCCCAATATGGACACTGAATATTCTCAATATTAATTATAACTTTAATAATGAATTTGGAGCTATACGTTTCAGACACTTTACTAGGCCCTGCCCTTGGCTTTTATATCTGAAGTATGGGAAGGTTGCCTGTGTACTACTTATAAGCAGCCAATCTTGATAGGACCTGCTGAATCCAAATGTCAACAATTTTTGCACCTAGTCCATCATTATTTTCTCAGACCCATACATATACATCCTCCTCAGTTTGAGGTTGACTGTGTGGTGCCTACCACTTTGACACACACAGTAGATACTGGATCATGGATCTCCAGACTATGTTAACCTGAAGATCTTGAATTCAGGCTGCAACAGATTCCTATTCTTTGAGGGTTGTGCTCCTGAGCTACGTTTTGAGCAGCGGATCACTATTGCCTTTAGACTCTAGACTGCTGGCTTCATTAACCTCTAGTGACAGAAAACTTCATTCGTCTTAAGAAAATTAACTCTGCCTTTTGGAAGAGTCCACCAACTCAACGTGTTTTGGGGATTTGTTTGAAGTTAGGCTGTCACACGGGAAGAGCTTGGTGTCATTGACCTTCTCACCTTTGATGAGGGAGATCCATAAGTGAGAACTGCAGTAATTTTCCTGTAGAAATGGCAACTGGCCTAGTAGGTTTCTAGCTTTTTTTCCTCCTGGATTCAAACGCCAGAACACTGCAGTTCTGTTTGAATCATGCATTTAAAATGAGCCAATACAAATGACTCCTAGCTTAGTTAAGTTCTGATTTTTGTGTGGCCCAGTGAGTAATAATCAGGGTGGGGTATATATGTACACTCCATCATTAAGGTTAGGAAATACAGAAATATAGTTTCATAGTTTCATAGTAGTTAGGGGTCAGAAAGGACCTAAATAGATCATCTAGTCTGACCCCCCCCACCAGTGGCAGGAGCACACGCTGGGATCACATGACCCCAGACAGGTGTTCATCCAACTTCTTTTTTAATTTACCCAAGGTAGGAGCGAGGACCACTTTGCTACGAAGTTGGTTCCAGATCCTAGCCACCCTAACAGTGAAACAGTGCCTCCTAATCTCTAACCTGAACCTATTCTCTAGCAGCTTCTGGCCATTGTTCCTTGTCACCCCAGGTGCTGCTGGGGGGAATAGGACCCTTCCTATTTGCTGCTAATCTCCCCTAACAAGTTTGTAGGCAGCCACCAAATCTCCCCTCAGCCTCCGTTTGCTGAGGCTGAACAGGTTCAGGTCCCTCAGCCTCTCCTCATAGGGCCTGCCCTGTTGCCCTCCAACCAAGCGGGTGGCCCTCCTCTGGACCCTCTTAAGGCAGGCCACATCCTTCTCAAAGTGCAGTGCCCAGAACTGGACGCAGTACTCCAATTGAGGCCGGACCAATGTCGTGTAGAGGGGGAGCATCACCTCTCTGGACCGGCTTGAGATGCACCGTTGGATGCACGACAAGGTGCGGGTGGATTTGCTGGCTGCCGTCTGGCATTGGCGGCTCATGTTCATCTTGGAGTCAATAATGACTCCAAGATCCCTTTCCGCCTCTGTGCTCACAAGGGGGGAGCTCCCCAGCTTGTATGTGTGCTGTGGAGTCCTTCTCCCCAGGTGCAGCACCCTGCATTTATCTACATTGAAGCCCATCCTATTACCATCTGCCCACTTCTGTAGTCTGTCTAAATCTAATTGCAGCCTCTTTCTCCCTTCGAGTGTGCCTACCTCTCCCCAAGTACTTTGTCTTAGTTACCTGATCCAGAAAGCTGAATGCCATTATCAATGGCATTATGGTTTCCATAAGGCTTAACTTTTCTGTCAATGTTTCCAGTGAATGGAGAATACACGACTGATCCATCCTTGCAGATGACATCTACCCCCTGGTGCATCTGGCTTCCTCTGGAAGAGGTGGGCATGTGTAAATAGCCACGTAAACGTGTGCATCATTGAGGTAACGAAACACAATGGGGAATGCAATAACACTCTGCAGAATTACTGTATTCTCATGCTGACTTGCTTGTACTATTAGATTTGAAAGTCTTAAATAAGAATGGAAAACCTTGCATTTTCCAGTTTTTCAAAAGGCATTTCTCAGGTTGGATTCTTGCTTTCACGCAGCTGGGGGTGGGGAGGAATTCTGGCTCCAATCAAATCTATGGGAATTTTTCCATTGGCTTCAGTGGGGTCCAGACTTTTACCAGAGATAAACCTGCATCTTCCCTTGACTTCAGATGACCTGCTGTTGTCCACCAAACTAGCCTCATCTACATGTGGGCTTTCCCGGATGGACTATTTTGTAGACTCCGTCTTTGCAGGTGGAACGCTGCCTGTGCTGTTTGCTGTCTATTCCTTGAACAGACGGTTGCTCAATCCTGCACTCCTTTCCACATACACATTTTCTACCCTCCTTATTTTCTGCCACAGCTAAACATTGTCCTTTAAACAGAGTTTGATATACCCTAGCTGTCAGTGCCCCTTAGTCCTTGTTGCTGTACCTTTCATTGGTGTATCCGCCGCAGCCTTTGGAATCGCAGCCTCTTACTCTGTTTGCTGGCTGAGTTGAACATATATTTGCCCAGGGCCCTGCAAAAGCTTCAAAAAGAGATGAAAGGGAATAAGCACCCAGCTCGCATTGGCCTTCCCCTCTTTTAGGGATAGTAATTGTCAAATGATACGTTTTAACTCTTTTTTTGGGGTGGAATTTAAGAGCACAATCCAAAGCCACTGAGTTCGTGGTAGGTCTCCTGTTGGGTCTGTGGTCTTTGGGTTAGGGTTTGGAGGAGGAGAAAGTTTAAACTCTAACTTCTCAGAGGTTTTGGAAGCACCACAAAAATTGTTTGTCTTTTGACCTCATATTTAGCAGAGACGGTGTGGGTAGGAGGGGGAAGACGCAATGATGCAGTTGCTCCCTTTACCCCACTTTGCTTATGTAGTCTGCTTGTAGTGTGGGACCCAGGGGTCTAAGGCCACTGCTGCCCACTAGACCTGTGCGAAATGGCTAGTATTCGCTTTGCATTCAGCTGATTCAGGGGACATTGGTTCGATTCGGTGATTCAGATCACTACCCTGAATCGATTCAGCTGAATCTGATTCAGAGATTGGTCAGGCAGGGCAGCCATGGGGCGGGGGCTAGGGGAGCAGGCAGGGGATGGGACCTGGCAGAGGTTCCCACATGGTCCCTTCCCCGCTCCAACCTCCCTCCCCTGCCCCCTACTTACCTGCTCCGAGTCCAGTTCCAGCTCCCTGCTGCAGCAGGTGGGGACTGCCCGAATCATCGAAGCTCTCCAAATCTTTTCCAAAGATTTGGACAGCTTTGAATCCATTTGGATTTGGAGATTCAGCCACCGAATCAGGCCAAATCTCCTCTGAATTGAATCAGCACCCAAAGCTTTGCACAGCCCTATTGCCTACCCTGCAACCTGCTTGCCTGTTGCCAGCTTCAGGGTCTTAAGTCACCGCTGATGAGTACAATTAGTGAGAGGGGAAACAGGGAGGGTCTGTAGAGCCACGGGAGTTGGACACCCCACCATCTGACTGCTCCCCACCCCCTGCCTTCTACAATCTTAGATTTGCTCCTGTATTTTTATAACTTGTTCTCTGCCTGTTGATAGCAACAGTAGCACAGCTCTGCCTCCAAGCCTCTCTGCCCATCCTGTTTGGTTTTATCCTAAACAGGGGATCAGATCAACAGAAGATCCTTGCTTGAATGTGACCTGGGGGATCTCATTGCAAATCTTGGGATTTGGAAAGTGCTTTGCCACATAACTCTTCCTTGTACTCACAGCTTTCCTGTACAAGTGTTTGCATTCAGTACGGTTCATTTTGCATGTAGAAGATTAAGGTCAAACTCTTCAGTAGTTCCACAACCTCCCACAGGAGAGCTGCCTCCACACGTGCAGCCATTAGGCTTGGTGAGGCAGGAAGGGAAGAGTTTTCCTGCTCACCATCCAGTCATCAGGCCTTCGCAGGACACCGCCTCAGGAATCTTGGGGAGGATTATTTCACCAACATGGTGAAATAATCCCATGTTGGCGAAATAAACCCAGCGTGTTTATACCAGCTACTTCTGGCCCCACCAGTTCCCCCCACTCTCCTCCAGGGTTTCTGGGTTTTCTATCAATCCTACAATCCTTTGTGGTTGCTCAGTGTTCCAAGATTTGGGGTGGATCAAGCAAGAAATAGTCACTCTAAGGACAAATCCTACAGCACTTTACACACATGGAAGACCTGCCTCAGTAATCCCATCAGTCACGGAGAATGTGCTCAAATGAACAAAGTTATGCATGTGTTTTAAGTGCTTTCAGGGCCAGAGACAAATGTTCTCTAGTCAGATCCTATATTCCTTGTGCAGGCTGAATAATGACCTTTTCTAGGTATACACCATTTATTTTAGTTGTGGAACAATTCCATGTGAGCTAAGGGGTCAACAGTTACATATAGAAATAAGTCTATAAGAACATGTTGGGTTGAGCTGGCAGCTGCCTCCTCACTGATTCTTCTTCTCATGTCCTGTCTGAGATTATTGATGACAGGTATTTATCAGATTTGCAGATTTGTGAGAAGCCGCAACATGTGCACTTCCACTATGGCCATTATGACCATTGGAATCACATTAACAGTAGAGAAAACAAGATACACTCGGTGCTAGGCACAAATAGTTTATATCATATTCACAATGAGTTCAGCTAATCAGATAGCTGATATATGGGAAAATGCATTACAGTGTGAGGTCTGACATTTCAATAGGAAGAGTACTTTTTACATATAATATATACATTTTAAATACCCTCTGCTGTTATTCAAAGGATCTAATAGAAGTCCTAGGTCAGAGACCTTTTCACTTGTACAGCAGTGACTCCACCAGTTCACTGATGGAGAAGAAAGGATATGAACATTTTCTGAGCTACCAGTAGTTCTATGAAGGGTCTACAACATTTATAAAAATAAGCGTTATGGTAAAAATTGTATCTATCTTACTCAAACCTGTTTTCTTTAGTCATTCTTGGCTACCTGGAAAAAAAAACTGTTACAAAAGTTTTAACAGTAAAACTATATAGACTGTCTATACCACTAGATAAGCTTAAATTAAACAAAAGCTTAAAATAAACCTTTAAAATACAGGTGAACAAATAATCTATACTTTCTTTGAACACAGGATGCCAGACAAAATCAGTCTAAAATGGCCTTTTTTGCCATTTAGAGGACCTAAGTAAAACCTGCTGGAATTAGTATACTGTAACTTGTCTATTCCTTTTTATGAAGGAGACATCGATTAATGCTTTGTTTTATTGCACTGCAACTTGAAAGGACTGTTCTGTTAAAAATATGTATAGCATTTGGATTTTAGGGAGTTTTCAATAGCAAGAATGAAGTTAATCCCAAATTGGTCCATAAACCTTACACCCCTAACAGGTTTATCATCCGTGACTTTTACCGAATGATTTGCACTTACCAGATGGCATCACAAGAGCAAAAGTGATCACGGTGACTGGGTGCATTTTTCATCCACCGCCAGAGCTCTGTTTTCAAGTGAAAGGTTGGAGATGCTTTGCTTTATATCTGTGTATTCCTGCAGAGGCTGCATCCATATTCCTAGCCAATCAGACATGATCAGAGAATTTTGAAGACTAAATTTGTAAAGCTAAATACCAATGGTGACTGGCCATGTCTCTGAGGGGTCCCAGAAGGGGAGATAATATTCAGTGGTGAAATTCCAATGCCTTTGGCAAACGGCAGTGATGTGGTTTTATAGAGCACTGTACAATTAACTCGTTCTTTCATTCTTTCTTTTTTTGGCAACAGAACAGTGCATTTAAAAATAAAATGGGGGAGGGAGAAGGATAGAGGTAAAACTCAAGGACAAATTTCAAGTATCTTTCTCCGGGGTGTATTTGGTAGCTGTGTTGGTCTGAGACAAGAAGACCTACAAAAAAACAAGCGTTCTAGTTTGAAGTATCTTTCTCTTAAATTTTTTAGCAGCCTGCACCAGAATCCCAAATTTTAGCTAATAATGAATAGGCTAGGGATGGAAAGACTGTTCAAGTGATTGTTAAGCTATCTGGGCAGATACTTCAGACGCAAGCATGCTTTCGCACACCCTTCCACAACCATCTCCCCTTCTTGAAAAGTTATTAGACCAGCGGTACCCTCTGTACAAAGATGCAATTTTCCACGGTAGCGTGAAATCAGGCAGAAGCTGGGGCAAGGCAGTAGCTTATGGACTTATCTGGTTGAGCGAGACACGAGCTTTCATCAGCAACAGCCTAGTTTATCGGATGCTATGAACGGACTTGTCGTTCATAGCACATCCATTCACAAGTTGGCTGTTGCCTGTGAAAGCTCATGGCTCTCTGACCCAATAAGTCTTTAAGGTGCCACCTGCCCTGCCTTCTACCTGCCTCTATACAAAGTAAAGCATGAGCCAGCAACCTTAGGCTGGAAAAGCTCATCACGAGTGAGTCTCAACCAGGGAGCTGCAGTATGCCATGCAATGTTAGCACTGTGAGGTGTACAGACACGAGTCATAAAATAAACCCAGAGATTTCAAATAAGGATCCACTGTGTTAAAACCATGCCAACCTGTTGTGGTCTTCCTGATTTCTTTGCAACAGAATTGCTCTAGTATCTTTCTGCAGTCAAAAAATGAGTGAAAACTGAGAGGTGACATTTTCCAAGCAGTGCCTTGAGTCTAAAATGGTTGAGGACCACTGCTAAACACAACCAGGTTCTTATGATGCTGTTCAGGAAATGTTTTCTGATTCATCACAAACTATGATTCCTCCTACCTGGTTACATAATATGTTTTATTATCCCTGTTTGATCTATCTCATATAACAGGTGCCGTTCCCCTGTGAGTGAACAGCAAGAAAAGACACATGCTTATGATCTTGACTATGGCGAAAAGAAAATAGGAAAGTCTACAATTATGTGGCTAAATAAGATTACAGGAAACTCGAGAAATAGAGAAGTAGGCGGAAGCATGAATAAGGCAATCTGTTATTTTGGGGAAGGGAGGAGTGCAGTTAGTTGGTGAAAGCTGGGAACTGGCAGTTAAGTTTATATCTTTGGCTCTTCACACTGTTGGTGGCCAGAAAGGACTCTTCACCTTGTCAGTGGCCAGAAAGGATTCATCTTTGCTAGAAAATACAAAGAGAAAAGCGAGGTTACATATCGCTATCTGATGGGACGCTCGTACCCTCAACCCACTTTCTTCCATGTGTCCCCTCTAGCTGTGTGTCATAGCAAACTCGTGGATGAAGTGACATTGCCTATTCGACCTGGCAAAAAACTGCACAAGGAGTTCCAGATCTTAGGACAAAACCATTGCCTTTAAAAATTGGAGAAGGGCGAGAGGGGCAATGCAAATGAACCGAGAAATACTCAGACATTTACAGAAAAGGGAAAATGCAGTCAAAAAGGGACAATTGAGCAATCTTGAATTTTGAATCTCACATTTTGAAATGCCAAAAAAAATCTGTTTGGAAATAAAAAGTGGAGGGTTTTTTTTTTTTTCAAAAGTGGAAAAGGCCATTTTTCATAAAGGTTTACATGAAAAAAATTAGCTCAGTTCAACTTTATTCATTCAATTCATATGGGACAAGGGACAAGCCTTTCCCTAGTTCAAATACACAACTCACAAAATATTTCCAAACGTCAACTGGGGTGGGGGGTTGAGCTGGAAAACCCATGGTTTTAAATAATAAAAGGGAGGGAAAAAAGTATTCTGATGCTTTGTATTCAAAATTACCAACGTTTTCCAAACCTCAAGCACCGCACTTACAAGGCAAGCAGCATTGCCGTGATGAGGGGCCTCCACATCTATAGTTGGTATACGAACCAGAACAGTAATTGGTGCTAAACTGACATATTCCTTTGTTCAGCAAACAGGCGCGGTCCTTGAATATAATCCACATGTGCTCATTCATTTTACCTAAAGAATAATAACAATCTTGTTCACAAAACCATGTTAGAAATTGATCTTCTTCGTTTTATATATGATTTATAACAAGCTTAGTCATAGTGATGGTCTCTTTGGCTAAAAACAGACTACACTGGTGCGGTCTATCAGTCACACCAAAACAGGTGTGGTCTAGGTTTACAAGACTAGGTTTAAAAGTCAAATTAGCCGCAATTGTTCTGAGGTGAAGTGTTAATTTGAATGATTCATGGGTACTTAATGTGGGATGTTGAGCTTGGTTGTCTGTAAAGTCTGGATTTGGAGAGGCCCAAAATACTCTGGTGGGAGGTGCTGGAACAGGTCACCTAGAGAGGTGGTGCAATCTCCATCCTTGGAGGTTTTTAAGACCTGGCTAGACAAAGCCTTGGCTGGGATGATGTAGTTGGGGCTGGTCCTGCTTGGAGCAGGGGGCTGGACTAGATGTGACCTCCTGAGGTCCCTTCAACCCTCATTTTCTATGATTCTGTGAATCAAACTGGTTGTCTATTTTCAGCCTTTCTGATCACTGGCAGAATCGTGGAAGCCAGCATGAACGTCTATAATCTATTATGAAAGAGTATTATCTATAGTGTCATACCCAAGGTAATTTTAATCAACTCAATGTCATTTGTTTTTCTACTACTCTCCTATTTTTTGGTGATACCAACTTTCCAATACTTGTAGATGGATGACCAGCTCCTTAAATTATCTGGCCAAGTGCTATATATAAAAATCTTTTCCCAGAAGTGAATCCTGTCCAAGTATTTCCAAAAGCAAGCGCAGGCTCCAACATATGTTTGTCAGTTCTTGATCTCTGGGTGGGCTCTAAGCTCTGCAATGTTACTTCAACTGGGGATTCAGAATTAAAGCTAAACTCCAGCTATACTAACTGGGGAAAGAGATTCAGCTACCGTAATATATTTTGCTGCCTTAGCAATATCCTGAAGACAGTGCTTTATCTCTCTGCAACAGTCCCATCTTGTGTGAGAGTACCCAACCTAGCGTGCTAACTCTGGCAGCTTTTCATCGTCCTATACAGACCCACAGAAGTGAGGATGGGGGGAAAGAGAGTTTGCAAATTCCTTGAAGGCAGCTCCCCCTACATTTTAACAAATGTTAAAGTTGTGTGCTGCCCATCTACTGCCTGCTGCAAAGTTTGAATTAAAAAATGAAGTTCCTTGCTCTTCTGGGCTTTAAACCAGTGAGACTATGTTTAGGTAGCCACTATGTGTTACGTATGTGCACTTCAGAGAACTAGAAAAGTTCCTCTTAAGCAAAGTACAAGAGCGTTCGCATTGTGCTTACAGTATAAATGGCAAGGCAGGCAGCATCTTCGGTCGCTGTGGCCATGGCACTTCCCTTCAAGCATATCATTCCAACACCTTCTCAGACGATAGTTGTAACATGTCCCTCCTAATTTGGTACATTCAGTATCAGCAGCAACTGGCAAATACAAGAGACTTTTTTTCAGAAGCGTCACCTGCTTGATGGACAATGTAGTAACTCTGTGGATCAGAAAGCTGAATAAAGCAGCAATAGCCTTAGTAGACAGGCTCTTGGTAACTGTTGATCTGTTTGGACTATTCTTGAGCAGAAGCTGAGTGGTGAGATTTTTTTCTAAAACATGATTATACCGATGAAAAGTGCCAATTTAACTCTTTGCATACAGACATTATAACAGCAGCATGACCTCTACTTTCCTGTTTGGCAATCCTTCTTGAGGATGAATCTCTTAGTCTAGTTACAAGGAGTGTGATTCCTACAGTAAAAGAAGTTTAACCAATTAGAAGCTGCTTCTAGGCATGCCCTGTGGTTATGTTTCTAAGGCTTTTAAGTATAGCCTAATTTTCCCTTCCTCGCTAATGGCAATAAAGAGTTGTGAGATCTACATTTCAGGAAGCAAGTAGAGAGTTGTGCAGTGACAGTTTTTCTTGGGACATAAGTAAGATTGCAAATAGCTCATGGATGAACATGCAGAATCCCCTTGGTTCCACGTGGAGACCCCAGTGCCCGCAGCAACACCTAGCCCAGACCCCTGTGCCCGTGCAGTCCTACAAGACACTCCCCAAAGCACAAGGGAGGAGGCCACAGACTGTGAGCTAGGTGAATGAACTGGCATGTCTCTGAGAGTGCACAGCTTCTCTTTGCAAGCAGGCACTCTGCTACTTTCTCTGCTTAGTCTTGCAAAAATGCTTCCTAGCTGAAGAGGAAAGGGGTGATGCCACTTTTCATTCCCCTTGCATTTCAGATCCTTATTTCTAATGCTCAGAATATTGAGAAGGGACGTCTTATTTTTCTGTTCTAAGCCCAGCTTTAGCAGAAAGGGAATTGTTAAGAAAGCAAAGCTCAGGAGACACTTCAATAACCCGCAAATGAAAGAATAAGATGATCGTTAGTCAAGTTTTGTTCCACGTAGGGCCAGGAAGAGAGAATTCTTGCCCATCAAATACTTGTTTATCCAAATCTTCCCATCCCTAATTTATCTATCAATCACCAGGCTACATTAGTTCAACACTAGTCTCATTAAATATTTCAAAGGCTTTCTAAATTAGGTCATTACAATAAATAGATACTAATAATTAAACTGCTCAGTGCTAAATGGAATCAAATTTTCTTGACACAAAGCCTGCTTTTGGGTTTTGTTCTGTGCTTTGATTCAATAAGAGTTGCTGTAAAGGAAACTAAAACTCTAGCAAACATTGCAATCCTGTACGGATCTCATATCATATACAGCACCCTCTTGAAGACTTTCTGCATACAACAGACTCTCTATTGCTGATAATATTGGCTCATACTTTATTTTTTTACTGATTAAATATTCCTCAGCTATTCTATGCACACCTATGGGACTGGAACATTTCGCAACATTACATTTATATGGAATTGGCTGCTAGCAAATATTGTTAATAATATGCATCATCACCATCATCTCGCTCCTTATAAGATACTTTTTCATCTCTAGATCTTATTTAAGCCGATGCAATTCTGTTTGAGGTAGCTTATTTCCAGATAGATACTTATCAATCCTCTTTGAGACTTACCAGTAGAAATGAAAGCAAGGAGAAGAAGAACGAAGGAAAGCATTCTGGGTACTTCATCAGAATTCTGTGCTCAAAAGAAAAGCACTTGCCTTTCATCCTGCTCCTTATAAATACTGCCAAACGGCGTCCAAGCCTTCCAACCAATCCAAACGTATCTACTTTGACTCCCTGCAGAAGGCAGAAGACCATGCCAACCCTTGAGCATTCCTTAATTACAGAACATAGCACGCCGTCTCTCTTTACCTGAGTACTCTCCAAAGATGGTCTTTGCTCATAACTAACAAGAAACTTATGCAGGATATTAAGAATACTCTTCTGTCAGAGTGGTGCTGTTGAACAGGGGCAAATGCCGTGGCCTCGGAAAGGCTGTTGTTCCCAAGCTGCTGTAGCTGTTCCGGGTCAACACAGATGACTCCTTCCCCAGGAGAGCCCCCCCACCAAATCCTGTTCTCCTTGTTTCAGAGGTATTGGGGAATGAGTTCAGTAGAGGTATAGTTCAGGACAGTAAGATTCAGCCCCCTAATATCCTTTTTATTTCAAGTTAGGATACTCCAGATCTTTATGGAAGTAGTTGAATGGATTTAAGCTGAGGACGCTAAACTATTTGCTGAGTACGTTGAACTATTTCCTTGGACAAAGATAAGAGAGATAAACTGTCATTAGTTCTGTTTTTGAGTGGGCAGATGAGGGACATAGTTTCTTCTTTGCTCACATACTGTACCTTCTGTTATACTTTGTTTCGCATGAATTTGCATGGTCTCTCCCTTGCAGAGAATTTTCCTGCAAAAACCAACGCGATTTTTGTATTAACTCTTGACATTCCTATTATACTGGCATGCTGTGCTGCATAGCTAGTAGCAGAAAGAGCTGGAGCTGTAACTTTTGGCATATGGTGTTTATTGCAAGCGAGAGTCAAAGCAAGAGTGGAAGCAGATTTAGACCTGGTTAACATTAGCTGTGGACAGCTACAGATATCCAAATCAGAAGGCTTTCCCATCAATTAACTCTGCTAACATTAAGGACAGCTAAAAACAGTGCTAGAATGGAGGATTGTGTGTATATGTGTGTGATAGAAATGATTCCTAGCCTTTGGGGTGAAATGTGGAAGTCACTGATCTCAAGAGGACCAGGATTTCACACTAGAAGTTCTTCCAAATAAATGTCCAGAGAAATAGAAGAGATTGTTCACCATCTCCCAAGGAGTCAGCTTGGGAGATGGTGCCTTATTGGCCCTTATTTATGGGTTGTTTCTCAGTGGACTACAGTGCTACCTAAGCCACATGCTTATCCTCCCAATATTCTTGTAATAAAGGGAAAAATAGCAGCCTCTCCATTTTACAAGTGTGGAACTGAGACTCTGGGAGCCAAAATCAAAAGGTATTTAGATGTCTCCAAATGCATGTAGGGACCTAGTAAAATGTACAGGAGTGCCCAAGTGCATTAGGCACCTAACTCCTATTGTCTTGCAGTGGGAGGTTGGCACCACTTTCCTTAAGTGAGCTTAAGTAAAGCTACATCTCACTACATATCTAAAATACCTTTGTAAGGCTGTCCCCTGAGAGATTAAGGAATTTTGCCCCAGATCTTTGAGGAAAGTCCTACGATGGGCTGAGAAGGGAAGTTGGGTCACTTATGCTGCCTTCACCACAACTTCCATTTTCCTACCTTGCAAACACTTTCACTGCTACCGAGAGCTGAGAAACAAACACACGGCAATGATCCAATTGACCCCACACCACCATCTGCTCTCGTATGCACTCTGTTAAGAACGTACAGACTTTAATCATAGGCTGGGGACTGGGAAGGGTGGACCGTCCTACTAATTTTTTGCTAACAATAAAGTCTATCTGTATTTACCATCAGGAATTTACTCAGTAACCTTTTGATCAGTAGAGGCGGGGGATATCTGAAGGGCGGTTAATGCAACCAAACGTATGTTTGGAGCAGATGGATGGCAGTGAGCAGAGGGTCTAAACTTGAATCGAGACGGAGTAGGCAACATGCTGCTGACACTCCCAGAATGTAATAGGCAAGCTCCATCCATGCCATCGTACCCATGTGTAGGCAAAACGGGGCCCTAAATTGAAGCAATGAGTTTTAAAAAACACCAATTTAGGGCTGACACCCCACTGACTTACCTGCCTCTCCAGTGGGGAGGGGAAGGTGAGGTGGTAGTGGGCAGAGTGGTCCCTGGGCTGCAGGGTAGGGTGGGGGGCTAGTGCTTCCCTCCACAACAGTGGTAGCCTTTGCCAGGCAGCACCCACCTGCAGGCACCCAGTTCAGGCAGTCCTGGGTGCACCACAGCTGCAGAGGGAAGCACCGGGCCCCCATGCAGTCAGGCAGGCTCCTGGGGGCAGGTGGAGATCAGGCTCACCACTTTTCTTGGGCAGAGCTGCCTTCCTGGGCTGCTGCCAGGATGCCTGCAGGGCTTCCTGCAGAGCTGCACAGAGCCTGGTGCTTTGCTCTGCGGCTGTAGGGGAGCAAACAAAAACTCCTCGAAGGAGTTTTTAGTTTGCTGCACCCCAAGTCATTTAAGGTGCATTACGCCACTGAATTTCCTGCAGCGGCTGGAACGAATGCGCAGAACACCGCCGACGTGTGCAAACACCAACAGCATTAAAGCAGTGCAAAAGCATTTAGCCCACTTTAAAGTGTTGTGCACACACGCCTCTTGTTTCGTCTACACACGGCCACAGGCACAAAGGGAAACATCGGCAGCTGTGCTCTTCTTGACTTAACTGAATCTTAACACAGCGTTAAGAAAATGCTAAAGTGCAACTTGTGGCTTGTCCGTAGCATGTTGTCTGCTCTGTAAGTGGGGTGGGGAGTGAGGAATGAAGCCCCGTGAAGGGATACAAGGAAAAGCTGGAGCCTTGTAGCTTGTTTTAGTGGGAGAAAAGACAAGCTTTTATGTTCCAGCTCTGTGTAAAATCTTAAGGAGACCAAGTTACAGGCAACATGTACCTTTGTTTGGCTCCATCTGTGCTGCAGTCAGGGATGGATGTGATTTAACCGAGGTAGCTCTAATCTAAGTACATGGGTACTGATAGCAGTGAGCATAACCTGAGCCCCTGGCAGAGTCAAGTGCAGGTAGACTGCGTAAGCGTGAAGGCTGACTTCATCCTCTGTCGGTATTTTGGGGGGTGGAGGCTTAAAGAAAATAACAGTGTCTAGGAAGCAATTGCTGCAAAAGAAAACTCTGGTTTGCTACTAAGGAGCACAAATGTGTGATGAATGAGTTGGAAAATGAGCATAGCAGCTTTGTCCTAGCCCCAAACTGTCAAACGCAGCAAAAACAATCTCTGAGGACTCTGTCCATGCCGGGAACTTTAATAACGTTTTCATTAGAGAAACAGTAGCTGGCTCAGACCATCTTGTGGAGCAGTGCTGGATTCCTTTCTATTTATAGAGGGGGTGGAATATGTGAATAGCTTTGATAATTGCCTTTCTGAGGAAATAGAGCATTAAAATGTGCTTTGATTTATTAACAGTATCACACTGGGAGTGGACTTCCAGCCCAAATAACAGGGTAGCGATACCTTTGTTTTACCTCTTGAGCTTTGTAGGAACACACAGTCCGTGAAGTTGGCTCATGCTCTGCTTTTTCCTTTACTGCTTCCCTAAAGTCATTTATAAAACAAACTTCCTATCTACAAATCATTTCCCAGCTTATTTTAGCAACCACTACACATGAAAACATTTCAAACCAGTTGAAAACCCTTTAAACAGGTGCAGGTTAAACACCTGTTGTGCTTTGGAATGGGCTCTGATGGGTTACGATAATAAAAGCAAATGGGATTATTCAGTCCTCTAAAAGCAGGGTTGGCTTTGCTGAAACCATAGGTTTGAGCTCTGAGATGGTGTCCAGAGGTGGGGATGGGGAGACCCCACAGGTTTGGCAGCCCACCATAAAGGCCTTGTGATTTCTTTGCCATGTCTAGTTGTTCCCACTGTCAGCCAATGATCCCTGAATATGTGGCTCAGCTGCCTGAACTTGCGTGTTAATTTTCCCTTTCTTTGCAGGGTGTACAGAGGCTGCAATGAGCAGAGGAAAGGAGGGGAGGGGGACTATGAAAATCCTGCCTGTGTCCATGGCATCTTATCAGAGCAAGCAGGCCATTCCAGCGAATGCTAGTTAACACAATGCTGAAGGACACGAACCCGAGAAACATTTTCCACTGTACTCCTGTGCTCAAGAAGCTGACAAAACTGCTGACTTTCTTTCTTCCTCTGATCAATGTCTAGAACTTTTAAAGGAATATGAATTAGTTCGATTACTGACTCAAATCTTCAGAAGGAAACTTTACCTTACGTCATTTCCTGAAACACAGTGCTCGTTCTGTGTGATCAGTGCCAGGGTAAATGGTGCTAATCAAATGCAATTTGTCTAATGAGTGTAATTTTGGAGAGAGGCTTTGTTGCAAATATATGGCAGAAATGGTTTGCAAGCGTTCAGGCCCTGAACAGGAAGGGGCTGCAGGGTTCTTGGAGTGCGTTGTTTCAGCTCACGGTAGCAAAGTGACATTTCTTGTGAGCTGGGACACACATTTGAAGACTTCATTGGGAATCATACTTAAGTGTCTCCCCAACCCTGTTTGGGGGGTGTTGGTCTAAGGACACAGGCAGACAATGTTCTTTGGGTTAATGTGATATCTTTTCTTAGACCAACTAAGTAGTTGGAAAAATTGTTTTTTGCAAGCTTTTGGGTACAAACACCCTACTTCCAGCAGAGGGAGGGTCACTCTGCTCTGCCTCTCCCTCTGCCTGAAGAAGGCTGTTTGTACCCTTCTTCAGACTCTCCCTGTGCCTGAAGACAGGTGTTTGTACATGAAAACCAAGAACAATTTTTCCAACTGTTTAGTTCATCTAATAAAAGATATCACATTTATGCAAAGAACCTCATCTCCCCAACCCCATGATTCTTTCAGCTGAGGAGAATCTAACTATTGGATTTGCTCCCCAAGCTCATCCATCAGTGTCCAGGGCATAATTTGCTCTACATTTATTTTTATCTACCTTCTAACTTAGCCTGCTGTTGGTTTTACTCCTGCATTTAATGTGCCTAGCTACAAATTAGAGACGATATGAACTAATATAATTATGTCCAAAGAATTGGT